TATATATATATATATAAAATTAGAAATAAAAACGTAATTTAAAAACGTCACAGTACAATATTAATTTCTCTTCAAAGTAACTGGACAGTTGAGTATTACAGACAATACTGTAGAAACTCTAATGTGACTAGAATGAAGCATTGTTTAATTTACAGTTGCTAAAAGTTTAAAACTTAAAATTGTTTAAGTTACAGTTGCTAATTCTAGAATTAGAATTAGTACTTCGATTTTTGAAGTTAAGCCCGCCTTCTAACAGTAGCAGTGTTATTCTATGTAGGCCAATCAAAGGCCCAAAGTATTTCTCCAGCCCTCCCCCTAAACATTTTCAGGGCTTTGGGAATGGGGTTGTTTCATCACTTCCTGCTTTGGCCCTTGATCTTCCTGGTCCATTCCACAGAATATCACCCGATGTTCCCGCCGAGACTGCTCCGCCTCAAACACCAGCCTGTGACTGGCCAGGGTCTCCTCAGGTCCCGACCGGATCAGGGATGAATCATTGTTCTTTCATACATGCCAAAGACCACAAACAGCAGTGAATTACATTGAATCACACCAAGGCTAGACTCTTCAATTTGACCCGATTATTAGGATGATTCTTGACATTGATTCATTTAAAATTCACAGGGTTCCTCACCGCCACAGCAGAGACAAAGGCATCCACCAGGTAGTAGTCAGCCACGCCGTGACCATGTGAGGCGAAGTTTCCAAGCACTTGTATGTCTACCGTATGCTCTGTCCTCGTCTGCGTGAGGAAGTCAAACACCGAGAGCCTATGACCATCGTAGGACAGCTCACCCTGAAATGAAAGACATACCAGACTGATTATCCCACAAGGGGACAGAGAAGATACAAGCCCAGCATCTCCACAGAGGACCAGAGCTAAGCAGGCTCTTCAGGTGGCCTGTACTTGGACTGATCATGATGGTTTAGTGGTTAGCTCTGTAGCCTCTAACCTCCAGTTCTGTGGTCCCAAATCCTGCCTTGGGCTCTCTTTGTGGAGGGCATGTTGCATGTTATCATGTTAATACAAGTTTTCCTTTTCCAGAAAATTAGCATAAGTGAAGCTAACTGTAATGTGTGAGTATACGGCCTGCTGTGGACTGATATCTTATCCCTCCCCCCCCATAACTTTGTAAAGAAGCTGTTTTCATTGTAAACATTGCTGGAGACCACAGCTTATTCATCAACACAAAGCCGCAAACGTAAATCCTAGTGGTGAAACAGAGAGACACTGCTTATACTTCATTAAACCCACTTAAAACCACTAGATTGCACTAGAACCCAAGAATTCATGCGAAAACAATTTCTAACGTGCATTTATAAAAACAGAACTGAGTAAATACTGGAAATCCTGTCATGACTCTGGCCTGACATCAGCAGGGTTTGAGGTATTCCCCATTACGATAGCAGCTCTTGCTTGAATCACACCAAAAATGGGTTTCTCGCCAATGCCCAGACACAACTTCCCAGTTTGCACTTGTTCCCTTGCCTTCCACACAAAGACATTCATACCAACCCGACTTTCTGGGATGCTACATCAGAACAAGTCTATTAAAGGTGGCACTTCACTCCAAGCAATCATTCGATCAACCATTCAATCATTCAATCAATCAACTAACCAATCAAAGTTTTGCCATATATACAGTTATACTTAGTATACTATGCAGTGACACGCTATGTTGCCAAGTTACAAAACTGTGAAAGAAGGGATGTAAGTATAAAGAGACAAAATATTAAACAACAAACATTTAAAAATAATAATAAATATCCATAAATAACGTGGAATTTGCAGTACAGTGACAGGTGGTAGTGGGGGGAGGGGACTACCTTGCTCCCGTGGATGGTGGTCTTGCGCCTGCAGACTTCCTCTGTAAACGCCACCATGGTGAAGGCAGCAGTGAGACCTCCGGCAAACTCCATGTTCACAACCTGGTTAGGTGTGAAAAAAGTTAATGCTTCGCCGGCTGCCAACATGGAAAACGACGGTATTACCGGCCTGCAGGTTTCACCAAGGGTCTTCCTCACCTGATTGGTGCAGACGTCGTTGTCGCAGCTGTAGACGCAGCGGCCGTAAGGACCCCGACGCAGAGCCTCCGTCACAGTCTCAATGTCGGGAACTGAGCTGGGGCACAGCACCGAGACCGGCCAGCGGACGTGCCCCTGCCAGGAGACCAACGCTATTACATTAGCAGGGGTAGAATTACTTTGTTCGGGGGGCACAACAATGTTTGCCTTTTATCCCCTCAAATATAGGAGGGCACTAAGGCATTTTCCCGTAGGTTCGGAGGGCACCAAGGCAATCAAGAATTACTGGCCAGGGCACTGAGGCAAAAAGGAATATAGCCGGACGCATGAAATATTTAGCATTCTGACATTTTCAAGGGCAATAAATGCATTAGCATCCTGTGAAATAGTGTTAGACTAGCTATTGAAAAAAAGATGCTGTTGCCTTCATTCACCTACTCAGTAATGACGAAATGTTTTATGAAAAAAAAACAGAACCAGCTATTGTCAGTGATAAAAACTTTAATTTAATGAACATTTTTTTAACTGAGACATTGAACACTAACATGACTAACAGAACTTCAAAATAATGCATGAGTGACCATATTCAAGCCAACTAACACTCGCCAACTGTCCCGAGCCACTCAAACACTGTCGCAAGCCACTCGCTAACTGTCGCGCCCAGTGCCGCGAGCCACTACGAACTGTCCCGCCCAATGCCGCGAGCCACTACGAACTGTCCCGCAACACTTCCGCGAGCCACAGCAGCTGCAGGACAGTACAGTTTAACTCCTTCTCCGTTTTCACTAAAATTCAATGTACATCTGGTATCAATTATTTCAATCTTCTATGAATTATTACAGTCTATTATAAATTATTACAACGTCAAGTAATGACAGATAATTTCCATAACAATAGATGCGGTATGACTGGGAAAGACATGCATAACCAGCGAAATTACCTAAAAAATGTGGTTATTTTCTGGGTCTTAGAAGCAGCGGCCGTCATCTCAGCCTGCTTTCTTTTTTTCTCCCGATCTTTCGTAGGCATTTTAATTGGAACTTTGTGGCCTTATAACAGGTCCTTAACATGTATTTGTCGAAGTAAATCGATGATTGTTCACGTGCCAAAAATACCCCCAATACAGCCTCACTTTCAAAAGAACTTCTAAACCTTCTCACCCTCCCTATTCTATGAACATGTTGCTATTAGTTTCGGAGGGAGGTAAGCATCGGCTAGAATAGCCGCTCTGAATAATTTTACCATGGAGGCGTGGCTAACGTAAAATTATGGGATGCGCCTATCAACCCAGATATCATGGACATGGCGACAGAGAAGTAAAAAATGGAAGAACTTGTTCTTGATTTCATGTTTATTGACTTTATTATGATCTAAACATATACAATAGGGCACAAAGGCAACTGAGGAAGAGGGCACTGCAAGTATCTGCCGGCAAGAACTTGTAAATATTCAGGGTAGCACGGCAAATTGCTAAGCCACGGCGGCTTTTGCCGTCGATGCCGTCGATAAATTCGATCTCTGCATTAGCTTACCGCTTCAACTAGAGCACATAACTGAGCCTAGAATTTCACACCTGCCTACATTTAACTTTCAGCAGGATATGACAGCCAGTCCCCCTAAGGCATTTTTCTCAACCCGGTCCTCACAAACCCCCAGACAGTCTACATCTTCACTCCCTCCCAGCTCCCAACACACCGGTACCAGATATTCTGTGTTATTGCAGGTGTGCTAGGAGGTATCTGGGAATGTGAACTGACAGTTTCCAACTAGGCCAGCTGTGATCTATTCACACAAGCTTCATGTTTCTGCAGCTGCAACCTTCAAATCACGATCGCGTGTGTTTTCATATTACATTGTCTATCCTACCTAAAACAAATGCGAGTATCTATAGACTCAGATATGCAGTCCTCAGGATCAGCTGATCCTCACCACAACCGTATATCATATAGGCAGCTGGAAGATGTATTTTCCTGGCAAATTTACAGGACACCAGAGTGAAACCAATGATGAAATTCATTAGCAAACTGATAGCTAAAATATATACTTAGGTCAATAAGCATTGAGGTAAAAGGGCACGTTTTCTAAAAATTTGCATTATTGAGCAAAATAAAAAATTAATCCCATAAGTAGGACACAATCAACAAAGCACACAGGTCAGATAATGAGCTGTAGAACATAGCAAATGTACCTCACCCAACCTACCTCACCCAACGTACCTCACCCAACGTACCTCACCCAACGTAGCTCACCCAGGGGCCATCCATTAACTAAGCTCCTTTGAGCCCTTTGTTGTTCAAAATTTGTCACGACGTTGGACAAGTTGGTGTCCACATCTTTTTGGCCGTGTAAGATACCTACCTTCTCCATGTAGCCCAGTCTCCTTCCCTGTGCATCCCCACTGTTCTCTCAGTACCTTTCTAGCTCTCTGTGCTGTTAGCTTGACCATTGACTAAAAAGTTAGCAATGTGTATCATTGTGATTATAGAGTAACGACTAACTTTAACAAATTGTAACGTTGAAACCACTGTTATTCTGTCATGGGCTAACAAAAATAGAGGAACGAGGGAGGCAAAATGAAATAATTCCATATAACCTTTTTAACTCTATCCAGATAGATCTTGCACGCAGAATATGGACAGGATGCTTCAACAGGACAGTCCAAACAGCGGTCACCAGCTCCAGAAGGCTAGCAAAGACAGGAAAGACTAACTCAAACGTGATTATCTTAAAGGCCAGCAATCCTAGGATAGGTTTCTGATCTTAAAAGTAGAAGAGGACATGCTCTGCCAAGAATATATGTTTCAGTGTAAAACAGGCTGTAGGTCTTGTACTCTGTATCATTGTGTACGAACCTTATTGTCTTTGGTGAAGTGGCAGAGAGATCCAAACGATGACACCTTGACACACCTTAGAAGACAGACTCATTAACATGCGGCTTGCACAACCAATCAAATCACCGGTGCTCGGCGTTCTGGACTATGTTTCAACCTAGTCCTGTTTAGCTTCTGCTTTTCCTGGAGATACTCAGCTGCTAAATAATCGCAGTTTGTGGCTCAGTGGGCTAAGCCTGTGTGCTTGTAATCATAAGGTTGTCGGTTCAAGCCCAGCCTCAGCACGTCTGCAGGTCCTTGAGCAAGGCCCTTAACCGCCAGCTCCCTGGACGCTGCTATGGGTCGCTGCCCTTCGCGGAGGACTTACTCTACAAAGAGCAAGTTGAGGGAGGTGTAAAAAAGACAATTTCCCCAAGGGGATCAATAAAGTATCGATTATTATCATTATGGTAGCTGGGCTCTGGACTACGGTGGGTGGGGGGGGGCACATGATACTGCAGGAGCAGCAGAGCATACCTGCGGCCCCCAGCCCAGTGGTGGATGAGGTCAATATCATGGCAGGACTTTGCAAGGAGGGCGAAGGAGCTTCTGGCTTCGTTCCGCCAGTTCCCTCTAACAAAGGAGTGGGCAAAATGGTAGAATCCAACCTGCAGGGTCACAGAAAGAGCCAAAAGTGATCAAGGGACAGCCATGTGAAGACCCTGAGCGAAGTGTTTGTACCACAGCATGTATTGAGTGGGTTGTTTTTTTTTTTCCCCAAACGCTTCTGAAAGCTTTTCATAGAGCCATTCATAGGCATAAGATGGCAAATCAATTTGAGTAATAACAACAAGGACCTCCAGAAGAGGCAAGCTGTCAGTCGGTGCTGCATCTCCCCAGGTTTTATGCTCCTTTCATGTACTAAGAGTTACCACTCAGGGGCCTGTTTCACAAAGCAGGATTACTTGCTTAGCCAGATAACTTGCCAGATTTAGCCCCTTGGGACCGGCGATCCCGCCGGCGGGATCTGACAGAAATTTCGCAAAACCGTTTAAATAAC